TTGCACAGCCACTGCTGAGAGATTAGCTTTATAAAGTGACAATTTAACTGGAATTGCAGCTCTGGGTAACTACGGGAAACGTTGCTCACAGCAACAGAACATGTAGGATAATTAGGCATTTTGGGGAAGGAAAAGAAAGTTACAGTAACTATGCAAACAGAATAAACAGAATAAATAACATCGCTGTCCTTCTCTGGGACCCTTCCGAGGATCTCAGAGCAATCTACAGCCATCCCTCATTAAAAGCTGCTGTGTCACAGCCACAGCTTATTGCATGACCTAGGTCCCAAACCTGTCTGTACTTCTCATCCATGTACTTTTACCCCTCCGCTGATTCTCATGCAGTACATCAGCCATAAACTGAGGGCAGGCAGGGACCTGGTTGTGGGTTTGTGCAGTGTGGGACCCCAGCTGGGACTCGGGGTGCTGCCAAGGGCTCCTTCAACATAATTAACGAGACAGCCCAGTCAAGAGACAGAAAAGACAAAAGGTTTCCACCAAGTGAGAAAACTCTTAAGTGCGAGAAATGGAGGTTCTCCCCACGCCAAACGTGCTCAGCAGCACAGCCTGGCAGGGCAAGAAGACGGGGAAAGCTAGCTGTCTTGCAGACAAAGGTGCAAGTAGGAGGAGAAAAAGGAGGAAATATGGTCAGGCAGAGGGAGACAGGCTCCAGACAAGCCCTCCCCAAAGGAAAGCAACTCAGCGGACACCAGTGTGGAAGATGCTGCTCAGCAGGGGGAAGGGTCAAGTTAAAATACAAACCCACATTTACATGCTCCCACGAGTTCCTTAACTGCAGCTGAGAATTTAATGAAATGCTTTGTATAGGAATTGTTTGATTGCACGTGTTTTCCACCAATTTCCAGATCCAGTTTCTGCTCCTACTCTGATTTTTAATCACCACTGGGACAAAACACTAATATTCAGATATTGCCTTGCTGAGAAAACTGGAGTAACTGGAAGTTATGTTAACAATATTTAAATACAGTCCATGTCTATTTAAAGGCTTGAACACAACTCGTTAGAACACTGCATAAATTACCCCAACCTAATTCTCCGGGATGCATCAAGATCTGAAAAGCCCCAAGTTTGATGTTCTCTCTTACCACCCACTTAAAAAAACCAAAACCAACATGCTGGGGTTAGCTTAGGTTGCAAACGGTAATCAAATCAACATTCAACTGAAAAAATGCAATCTACTCCCTGATGTAATGAAGATCATGCCATAACCGGTTCAAAACCAAAACAAGAAGAGGCTCTCCCCCACCCCCTCTGTGCACACACATCCCCATTTTTGCTGTCATTGATGCCCCAACCCAGCCTGCCTGCTTGGGATCCTGCATTGCTCCCTCCATCCCTCCCCACCGCTTGAAACCATCCCTGGATGGAGTGAAGCACGCTGCTGCTGCTGCCACCACCGCTGGGCTCCCTGTCCCCGGCGCCTCGCTCACGCTGGCGGCCAGACAAAGCAAACTCCGGTTGCATCACAGAGCAAACTCATTTTCCAGCAACCTCCCAGCCCGGAGTTTACTGCTACTGTAACCCGGTGCTGTCAACAACGCCGCCTTTGTTGCGCACCCGTGCGCACGGCTTGCTTGTTGCTTGAGTTGTTAGTTTTTATTATTATTATATTTATTTATTTTTAAGAAGAATTTTTGTTTTAAATGAGTAATCTGCATTTGAGTGATTTCTCCTCTGTGCTGGCTCCACCCTGTACTGTAAACGAGACATTACCTTATACAAGAATGAATCTGCTGCATTCCTCTGTCTAGCTGCCTCGCAAGCACATTTCCTACGCTCGCAGCAGCCCCGGCAGCGCACGCTCTCCCACCCTCCTTCCCCCCCTCACCTTTTCTCTTTTTTCTTTTCCTTTTTTTTTTTTCTCCTTTTCACTGCCTCGCTGTGTTTTTGTGTAAATGATCTCACATGACTCAACAAATCCATCTGCCTGGAGCAGGCCAAGTTTGGAGCCTTCCCAGGAGGGAGGAGAAGAATTGCTTTGTGGAAAGGACCTGGAGCTTTGCCCTTTCTCTGGCTCAAATTACCCGCCTGTCAGGCCTGACGGATTTGGCTAAAAATAAAAGGAAGCGGGCCGTGAAAAGGAGATGAATGAGCTCAGCAGTTCCTTAGATAACATGGGTCTGGTGTCACCCAAAGATCCCAGAGCAGGAACTTCGGATGCTGAGCATGTAAGTGCAGTGCTGCAGCCTAGGTGAACTTGACTGCTTGGGGACCAAATAAAAAAGGCACAAAAAAGGGCAAAACCAACCCTATGCTGTTGGAAATAAATGGATTAAAGACATGCAGAACAGGAAAATTGCCTGCTGTAGGCTTTGAGCTTGTAAAAGAGATTTACAGCATTTCCAGTGGGAAAACGAGGCGTGGGGAGGTGTGGCGGGGGGACGCACGTGATGTCAGCCTCCCACCCTACCCGGGGAGCCTCAGCATCCTTCCTGCAAATGCCTGCCCAGCGCCTGCAGCGGGTATTAAGCACTTAGTTTGGCAATGTAATGACACACTGCAACAATCTGTAATGCGAGGCAGTCAGCAAAGCCCTGGCTCGCAAAGCTCTTTCTCCTAACCATTAACCATATGTTTGGCTCCGCCACCGCCCAAGCGAGCGGGTGTTCCAGCGCACCATCTGGTTTCTATCCACACAAGCAACTGCAAAGCACAGAGTATTTCCCTCTGGAGCTGTGTCTTCCTCCCCAGCTCCCCCTCCCCACCCGGCCCCCCACTCCTCTGCTCCTCGTCTTTCTCCTTCACTCCCCTTCAGCAGGAGCCTGACCTGCCCACTGCAATGCCCGAAGGGCTGGGGACCACGGCCGCCCCACCAAAGGTAGGGAGAGCAGGGATGCTATGCTGTGCTACCCCCCATACACACACACACAGAGGGATCACATCCTTCATGACCAGTGCTTGGGGTACCATGTTAAAAATATAGGTGTGCTCTTGACCAGTCCAGGAGCCACTGCAGTGCCCATTGCATCTCACTCACACACACATGCGCACAGGGAATATTCAATTTGGATTACATCAACTCCATGCCAACACTGCAGAAGGACTTCAAGAATGAACCTAACAGAAGGACAATTACCAGTGTTATCTCCTGATCCCAAGTACGGCTTTCTAGGCACACTGGGGGCTGGTTCCCCAATCCCACCAAATTAAGAAGAGAAGAAATGTGGGGGGAAGAGAAGAAAGGGGAATGGAACAAGAGAGCTCTAAAGAAAACAAATGAAAATATTTACTTTTCCCGTGATAACTAAACAAGATCTATATGAAACTATGAAAAAGCTTTCAAGTGTAATATTTTAGAAGACCTTGTGCCATATGTTTATGATTTTATGAATTCTAACTACTATTTATGTTTTTGAAGCACTTACATCCTTCTGTTTATTTCTGAAGTCACCTATGGGACATCAGCAGTAATTTTCCTCTCAGGTTGGCCAATTTAAGATTACTCATGACCTAATGCAAGTATTCAGGGATGTAAGCAATAGGATATTAAGTAAATCCCACACTTGCTCCTTTAAGTTTATACTCTGCAGTGAGTCACACATACGGTGTTTATCCAAGTTACCAGTGCTACAAGAAAAAAAAGCCCATTACATTTGCAAATACATACAAATCGCAGCTGTAAGCACCCAACTGCTTACACCAGGACTTGTTTCTATGACTGGATATTGATTTTTTAATAATGTGTCATTATACCAATGTTGATACAGCAACTATCTTCCCAGAGTATGCAATTTAATACTGAAAAGAAGCTGGCTCTAGGAAATATCAAATGGGTGTTTAAGGCACCCATTCACATGCTTCAAATGTCCTTCTTGGTCATGACAACAGCAACGCAAAGCCACAACTGCATTTTTCCCACTTGGAAAGAACAAAGAAAATGCAAAGGACTCGCCAGTTAAAACCAGCTCAGTCTAAGGCAACTAGAGCTCTGCTCATCTGCTTCTCAGTAAAATACTGCAGAACCCCTCCAATCAGTGCTGGAAACCAAGAGCCTACTTCGAAAAAGATACTTGTTTTCCAAATATCCTCATAGATGTAAGAAATCAGTTCACAGTAAAAGCACACTGTAGGACCTTATCCTGGAATCAAATACATGAGAGGAAAACCTATATGCTTGTGAAAAGCCTGATGACTTCACTGGGACTGCCTAAGAAGTTTGAGGATAGGATCTGACCCCAGTTACAAACATCGAGCGCACTTTAGCACTGTAAACTTCCCCCACTTCATCTTCCACTCCCCCTCAATGAGGGAAATAAAATGATTAAAAACATGAGATGAATTTAAGCTAGCAACTTACATTGCCTACAGACCAGGATCTAAGTATGTTAGAAGTCCATTATTTTAAGATAAGGTTGTTACAAACGTATTAGTAGCATGTTTAAACAGCACACATTAGGTTTCTGTGTGCCTTTGTTCACACACAGAAAACAACCAGTGGTAGTCCTCTAAAGCATTAAAGGTCTAGGTCTGGGTCTTTTAACAGATAATGATCTGCCCTGATCCAGAAACCTTTCAAAAGAGGGAATTCAAGGGAAATATTCATAGCTTCAGAGCTTTGCAGTCTGAAGGGACAGCTTATCATTTGACCTTCCTCCATAGAACAGCCATGGAGCTTCCTCGCCTGCACTGATGGGGCTGTAAGAGGCTGAATTAGAGAATTTATTAGAGTTAAAAAAACTTATCTAAAAAAATAAAAACAAACAAAAAACCAAGCAACAATCTCACAGCCTCAGATTCAACAGACAGGCATAAGGAAAGAAGCTACTGCAGTCCCAGCAACGTTGTCCTATTCAGCATTCACCCATGCTGCGGGAAGACTCACATCCCATTGCCTGGTCTGAATTAACATAACAGCCAGCCGTTTCTTGTCATACCTCTTGTCACCTTCCTCTACTCCTTAGTCCCTGACAAAAGGCCACTGTCAGCCTGAACCATAGCCAGCTTTTAAAGCATAATAAAAAGCAGTGTCACATCATTACCTGAATCCACTGAGTCCTCCTGCCAACAACGATGTTTACGCAATCACATTTTTCAGTTTTTAAAAACTTCTCTCTTGCCTCATCGCTCTGTATGAAAAACAACACAAAAAGAGAAAATTCATTTATTCCGCACAGTTATCCGTTATTCGTGTTACAGCGGTTGGCTTTCTCAGCAAATATTTAGGTCTTCTGTTTTCTGCCACGTTTCATGAAGATGTTACTCAAGAAGTCCTTTCCCCAAAATTCACACTGACCAAATAGAAGCGACAGTGAAAAGTCTGGGGGCAGCCACAGTACCACAGCCCATCACTTGCAGTTCTTGCAAGTGTTCATTGCAGGACAATGCAGTTCTCCTGCACCCAAATTCTCTGCCCTCTCCTGCCTGGCAGCACCAGGACCAGCGCCAAGCAGACATTCAGGGTACCAAAAGCAGAAATACGAGCGAAGAGAGAGCTACTTAAGTTTCTTTCAGTTTCAACAGTAAACACATGCCACTAATAACCACCACAGCAGCAATGTAAAAATACTTGCAAAATTACATTGATTACTTAACCTACAGTTTCCCTGAACTTTGCACCTACAACACTATTTCCACAGTAACTCCACTTAAAATTCTTGAAGGGTGTGTGTTTACTTCTCAGTTCACATATTAGTAGCTTTAAGTTTCAGTGTCAAATTCTCCTACCAATACACCAATAAACCAAAATGTACACCTCACATAAGAAATTTCCACACTTAAATAAGGAAGAAAAAAAAGCCCAGATGGTAAAAACCCAACTGAAGATACAACCTCTAAAAAACCCACCAGCCTCCCTGAATGGCCAGAAGACACATCATAAGTAAATAAAGAATGCCACTGGATTTTCAGTACTGGAAATGCCATCAATGTCAGTATTTCATTGCTTTCTCTGAAAGGGAACAAAACAAACCACATAAGGAGATACAACTCAACAATCTGTACGTGATCTGTTGCCCACCTTCAGAAGGGCACATGAACTACACACAGCCATGCAGCATGGGCTAGGGGATACGGCTGTGATACCGTTCCTGCTATTTCAGGGCTCCGACATTTGGCATACTCTGTCCATCATCAACATGGATGTCTGCCAGAAACTTCTGTGTCAAGTTTTCAGTCACAGTGGTCTGACTGAGCTATTCCTGAGAAAGTGGCTGGAAAGACTCAACAAATTCCAGCAGCAGAGACTAGCCATGTGCCTGCCACACAAAGCAAAGAGTATGGTCAAGCCCAGGGCTGAGGAGAAGAGAGGTAGCCTTTGCCTCTGGCATCTGGTCTCAACCAGGCTGGGCCATTTCCTGAGCAAGGACAAGGACTGAAGCTCTCTCCTGTTCCAGGTGACCTCCCTGCCACAGCCCCGGCCCCAGCCACCTGGAGCCATCTACACTCAACACAGAGCAGCCAAGAGCTAGGCTAGGGGGTGGCAGGGAAAAATACATAACAAGAAATTTCACTTAATGGGGATGGAAAATTGGAGGTAGGATAAGGAAAGAACAGCACGGAGAGCTGCACAGTGGCTGTGCAGCCACAGCACTGCCAATGAATCATATTCAAGCCTCTACAACACTGGCGGACCCTGTTTACCATTTGTTTGCTTCCTGCCTTTTTTCTTTGGTGCACAGAGAGAACATTGATGAGTGAAGCACTGAAAAGGGAAGAAAATGTGGTGGGCAAGTGCTGCCTACAGTGGCTCACTTCGCCCTCTCCTGCCACACTTGGCACATGGGACAGACCTGAGCTGAGCATCAGGGCTATAGGATAAAAGAGCAGGACAACTCTGACAGATGTTAGTGAAGACCACAGCCACCCTGCCACTCCCTGCCACCCCTCTCAGCACTCAGGCAGATGAGCCATGCCTTGGAGAGCTGACACACCGCTCCAATGCAACACTGCTAAAGTCATTTAAACCCAGCATTTCCCAAGTGGCCATTAATGGCGAGTTCCTAACCAACCTGAAATCCCAGCTTCTCTCAAGCAAAACTAATGAACAGTCACAGCAAAGAGAACCATACTCTCAGCACACGGAACACTACGTGGTGTACAGACATCTCAGCAGCAAGGCTGCAAGATCCTCAAGATTCTTTGTCCTCTTGTTTTAATTGTCTTCCTGTAAAGATGAGGCAATGCTTCCCAAATCATTTGTTAAACCCTCAAGCCTGACACTGATAAACAGAACAAGTTTGTGAGGAAAAGACAAACTTATTCAGTTTATGTGTAGTGTGCCATAAATAAAAGCCCAGGGCTAAACACCAAACAGTGGGGAAAAACCAAGATGCTGAACAGGGCGCCAGCCCAGGGCTACAGCTCTACACTAAGTGCTAGGCAAGGGACTTCTAGGAAGAGCGTGATCACATATTTAGAAATGTAATCAAAAACTGTCCATGCATCTACAAGGCTTAAAATTAGGTCTGCACAAATCCTTTTTATATCTCACTGAGTCACACTCTGACCTTAATTATATTGTAATGTTTGTGTACGAAAATAAAATTAACAGCAAATAGCTGAAACCGCCCCAGCTATTTATGCTGCCTTAGACATTCAATAGTGCATAACAGAGTACAGGTCTACAGTCAACCAAATGCACAATGCCGAAAGACAGACCTTAAAGGTAAATAATTCAGGGCTTGAATTCTTTAAGGTAAATAATTTAGGGCTCTGATGAACTCACTGACTGCAAATAGGGAGTTCCACTGTTAGCAACCCTCTAAACTGCCCTACATCCAATCCCCAGGAGTGCAGAGCAGAAACTGTCAGTAAAAACATGCCTCAAATATTCCTGGCTATAGCAGTAAGGACTCTAACACAAAAGGAGTCTTGGATAGGAAAAGGCAGCTTCACAGTTTGGTTCCAGTGCTCTGTACTGCTCCCATGAGCTGCTGAAAAGGAGGTGCAATTTCAGAAACACCACTTGGGCAAGCAGTGAGATGGTCTGCAAAGCAAGCTAGTTATCCCATGCTGTGTCTCACTGGAAAAACCCTTCAAGGGTAGCCAACAGAGAAGTTTGGTCCAAAGGTGCTAAAACCACATGTGGCTATGGGCGAGACTATAACCTCTTTGCTAAATAAAGCAGCCTGTAGATGAAAAGGAACCAAAGCTCTGACTCCTCCTTACTTCACAATCTCTCTTCCTGATCCTCTTACAAAATTGGCTATGGCCAATTTATCATCACCTGGGAATTCCTGTGCACCTGTCAAAAGGCATCTCAGCCACACAAAATCCACCAACAAACTACAGTATCGATCCTTATCAATTCTTAAACTATCATCAAGTGCCAGCCTTCCCAGCGTACATCCTCTAGTTCCAAGGAGTCATTCACAAGCAGCAACTATTCCCAACCAAGCAAGGAAATTGTGTTAACATGGAGATAGAGTGAACTGCCAGTTATACAATGTTGTCGCTGCTAAAAAAACTCCTGAGGATTTTCATGCTGTCTCACACACACACATACAGTAGTATGCAAAAACACCCTGGAGTTGCCACACACCCTCGTACAAGACCTACTTGAAACCAAACCGTGGAAGAAAACCCCGCCTTTCACCACCAGTCATGTCACCAGCAATAGCCAAGGTGCTGCAAAGCCGCTGAAGAGCCTGGAAACCACACAGGAGCATGCCCACAGAGGAGCAGTTAAGAATGCAACTGCTGTTTCTGCTCCATGCCCAGTGGAGATGAGATCTCATAGCCAGCAGAGATCTGGGTCACCACCAGGAAGCTGGAGTTATCCTGACATCATCTTCTAGGTAATGCTCCCAAAAGGGAGAACAAATCTGTGGCAAGGTTGCATCCTCTGAGATCCCGAGCGCAAAACAAAAGCCACCACCAGTGGTTGCTTTGGCCCCTGGCAATAACATCCTATATAAAAAAAGCCAACCAGCATGTCTTGTGTGCAAACTATTTTGCAGGAAGAGTTTGTTCTAAGTATGAGGTTCAGTTTGCGGTGCCTCAGGAGCTGGGAAACGCAACTCAGTTGCTGAAGTCTGCCTCCTAAACACCAGGCTAAAAGGTACTTGTTTGTCTATCCTATATTTCAAAAATGAAAACCCAAACACGGGGAAGGACAAAGCAAGGAAGACAATGAAGTGTGAATTTTAAACCTGAGATGTTTGTGAAAAATAAACAACGTGTTTCCGAAAAATAAACATGCTGAGTCTCCACATAATCAAGTAGCTGACACCTATCCAGGCACAGGACTGAAAACCAAACCAGCTTTCCAAGCTCTGCTAACCAAAGCTTTTACAATCTTCCTGTACACCATTTCCTTGTTTATGTCTCATGGCACTAGAGTTCAACTTCTGGAGAAACACGAACAGCGAACCTCGAAAGTGAAATGTGATATTGTTTACAGAATAAGAGAGCACGCTGTTTGCAAGAATCCGTAGCCGCACACATCCCAATCCTGTTCCTCAGTCCAACACCCACTTCTGAAATCCTGTACCAACCAGATTAGCTGATGTGCACATGCTTGTGCTCTTGCGGAAACAATAGTCTCTTTCAGCCCGTGCAGTCTTCTGAAGAACCAGGCGAAAACGTCATGGGAAAAGTTAGGAAATATCTGCAGAAAACAGTCCGCAAGATGAAAGGCAGAACAAGTCTTTTAACTTGTATGAAGTACATAACATGGAGGAGAAACGCACAGCTTTGTTACCTAGCCGCTCTGCCAAAGGGCTTTGCTTCCCCAGGATGGAAAAGGGGGTTAAAACAACTCTGGAAAATAAAACACCCAGTGGAGGAACAACTCCCTTACAAACAGAGCACTGCAGGAGAAACCCAGCTTGGGGAGCTGCGTGGCAGATTGAGGAGCTGATACCCGCTCCCCTTACACGCAGGGCTCTACTGTTGACGGCAGGAATCTTGGCAGGCAGGATGAATCCTCCTGCCCCCAGTGCACAGCACTCCTCCCTTCGCTCCCCTCCCAAACAAATCTCTGCTACTGTGGAGGGCACAGCACTGCTTTTTAATTAATCTAGTACTAGGTCTGAGCTGCCTCGGGGTTAAGCTAAACATCTTCTGTCTTTAACCAGTACGGCACAAGTGACTATAGAGAGAAACACTGCCATAAGGATAGGGAATT